TATGAATCAGCATAAATCATAATTAAGGATAATTTGCTTAGAAAGAATATATGGCAGAATTTAAGAAATTATGAAATCCTAGTTTACTCCAGTGCACTCACTAGTGATGAAAATTTGAGTGCTTTGTCTCAGTTTCTCTGCCTGTTAGAGCAGTATTTTTTTACCTCAGAGCTGCTAAGTGAGCTGGGAGATGACAGCTATCTATGTAATTGTTGACATACTTGTTTACTTTCCTGCAGAACAAACTAGACAGAAAGAGACAACAAATCAATAAGAAATAAACCCCAAAGTATAGAAAAGGAATGTAGTGAAGTATTTCAATGGATGATGTTTTAATTAGAAAAATAGGACAATGCCAAGAAAGAGCAAAAGCTGCATGTTTGGAAACATCCTTTGTATTTGAGAACCAATAGATGCAGTGTTGAAAATATACTACTGAGATCAGATGCTTGAAGAACACTGTGACAACACATTTTCTATATTTTATTGTCTTTTGATAGTAAAAATTACTATTTTTTATTGTTACTACATTACATCATGGTTTTTGTGCTTTTTTTGTTGGTTGGTTTTGAGGTTTTATTTAGTTAAAAAACGTATTTTACCTCACTGGTGACTGGGAAACAGTTCTGCATTATTCTGTGAACTGTATGCAGCAAGAAGTCAGTCCTTAAGGTGTAATCTTGAAATGTTCTGATACAATACCTATCATATATAAAGGAAATGAAACTAAAATGCTACGCAGGTCACACCTCAGAGGTATACCACTTTATTTTGAAATGTTGTTGACTACAATGTGTAATAAGCATTCAGCTGCATTGCACAGATGTATTCTGCCAATTAATTTCTTTTTTAACATCACACACCTCACTGTTGTTTCTTGAATAGGTGTGCCCGTTTCTTGTGCGTAAAATACAAAACACAGATAGAAGATGTGAATGAGGCAAGCACGCTGAGAATTACATTCGCTTGCCGTGACTATAACTGCTGCTGTTAGCTGTTCTCCCCATGCAAGTTGAATGGTGAGACTCCTTGCCCCCTTCAACAGGAATGCAAATAGATGGCATTTGTCAAAGATGGAACTATAAAATTAACACTATAAAAGAATTACTGCATGAGCAACAATCTGTTGACAAGTTGTGGCTTGCCTGAACAAGTATATAATTTTATTCTGTAGCAGACAATAATTCTTGAGGATCAATTACTTTCTCCATTCATTGTTCTGCTAAAGGGCAACTGCCTTCCTACTGCTGAGAAATATTACTCTGGTAAAAATCAGATCTTTTTGAGTCCTTTATGAGGTAAAATGTAGTCACCTCTATCCTCCAGAAGGAACTGCAAAGTCTTAGGCTAGACCTTCCAGGATTAGTTTAGCTATGCAAATAAGGCCACCAATTAGGAACAAGTTCTGCAAGCACACAGATCAGTGCCAAAGCACTTGAGAAAAGCAGTGAGACTGTGCTCTTCCAGAGGTGTAATGCTTGCACCTCTTTTTAGAAGGTCATTTTCTGATTGCTTAGAAGTTATTGCAAGACTATAATGCCAATAAAACTGTTCTTTGGATTTCAGCAAACCTCAAATTTGGACAGGCATAGTTTCAAATCCTGAATTTTAGAATTGAAGAATATTGCTTTCAGTGTCATCTCACCATCTTACCAACTTCACTGATTCCTCCTTTACTTGTTCATACCTATTTCTGAGAAGTAAAAAGTACTCTGAAATTTATGCAGAGAAGTTCAAAGTTTACAAGGCATGAACAGAATAAACCATAAAGGCTGCAGTTATGGTATGCTAGATATGAATGCTTTGTTGGCGGCTACTGCCAACAAAGTACTTGCTGGCCAAGGATTTTTATTCTAGATCATACATAAAAATTGGCCTAAACAAATACAGGTAGTGGCCTGCTGTAATAAAACAGGCAACGTAGAACTAAAAGTATATTAGATGTACCATTTTCACTGCAGTCTAAAATAAAAACTTTATTTTACATATATTGCTTATATTCTTCTAAAAGCAGAGGAGCAGAAGCATTTAAAATAAGACTTGCATCCTCACTCAGAAGGATTTCACAAAGATGTATTTGCAGCCCTTATAAAAGTTACAAAGACTATTTGTGAGAACTTACTCCAAAGTATACTAGACTTAAAACACTTAGATTTTATATGATCCAACAGTGTAATATGCACTTATGTTTAAAACCCACTCCTGAGCAACATGTTGCAATTAATCCAAAAAGTGATTTACAACTCAAGCATTCAATTTTTGTGGGGGTTTTGGCTCTTTTTTTGTTTGCTTTTGGGGTTTCTTTTATTTATTCGTCTTTTGTTTGTTTCCGAAGTCAGTTTCTAAAGTACTAACTTCACAGATTTTAACTTGAATCAGATTTAAGCTCCTCACAGTGCAGTTACCCTGTTTATTCAGGGTCAACATGTAATGATGAATTACCAGTTGTGTTGTACTTTGGAAAAAAGCTGTAAAGATGCCCACATTCTGCAGAAAGTCAAGTCAGTTGATGGTTGTAGATTACGAGGATCAGGAGTCCTACAGTCTTGAAGAGAGAGCTACTGTATCTTCTGATTAAGCTAACTCTAATTAAAAATGTACTTTATAAAATACGCTATGTAATACATATGTAAAAACAGGCTAGGCTCTCGGTTAGAATGGAATGTAAGTCCAATATAACAGCTATCCCTTTGTGTTTTTCCAAAGACTGCTTGTCCTAAGGTAAATCAAGGCACATCATCCTTAAGTGAGTGCCAGAAAGCCACAGGTCTTCAACACTGTAAAAGCCTGAAGTCTGGGACACACTAGAGGACTCTTCAGCTCCACCACCACAGACCTCTGTATCCATACATCAACAGGTCAGAGACTTTCCTGACCTAGTCAAACCACAATCGCAGTTAATTTCACTTCTGCCCAACAGCAATTTCGTAACCATCAGTTTGGGTATGTGCTGTAAATTAGGCTTATGCTGCATCATCACAATAGCTAATTTAATGTTCTTAATGAATCCGTAAGAAATGGGAGGAAAAAGTGTTAGAACTGATTGAGTTTTGGCAACAGAATGATGGGAGAAGAAGCAAAACAATAAAAACGCTTTCAATAAAAAAATGATGCATTATATACCAAGTTTCTTCCTACAGAGAAAACATTTGTTTTTATGTGTCAAAGCTTTCATGTCTGATTGAGTCACCTTTCAGTTTTAACTGTGAGAGCTGTTATTGCTTTAGCCACTATAAACTATTTTGTGAAGCATTTTTTCATACAGCATTAGAACTGCTACCTCAGTGTTTTTGCTTGTCTTACTGGCATATTTTCTTATTGAAAATAACTACTATTTGAAAAGATCTTTGAAAACAAGTGTTATGCAAACCATCAAATTTGTAATCCCTTTTCTAATGTAGAGACTATGAGTAGGTTCACTATCTCCACAGATACTCCTTTAATCAAAAGGTTCAACAGTCACAGATCATAGTTCAGGTGACTATGATTATGTACTAACTGTACATCTGTACACCATTTTCCTTCAAGCTTTGGCTTGCTTCAATTCCAATATAATACAAGTTAGTCAATTCTTGTTCATACACTTGGCATGCCACTGAAGACTATCTGCCCCATTTCTTAGGGCAACAGGTACCCCAAGAACAGATGGTGCCTAAGACTCGACGCTCAGAATCTGACAAAGCATCTTGGATTACCTCAATAGTTAGAACAGGTCCACTTTACCTGACTTTTTACACTGTATATACTTAGTTAAGACACTCATTGGAAAGGTTACAATAGTAGTTTAAAGGATACTGACTGTATTTCCACTTCAGAGAAGTTCTAATCAACTTTGTTATCTTGGGTTTTGGTAATAATACTATTTTGAACAATTTCTTGCTCCACAAGGCAGATACAACAAAAAAATCATAGGCACCATCTCAGTTTTTATTTAAAAGTATTTTGAGTACACAAGTCCCTCCTTTCTATATGAAGACTCCAGAGGTGTGGGGCTTTTATTTATGTTTTTTATCTTGTAGCATTTTCAGATGGGGAATAAAAAGAGGGGAAAACCAAGGTTGATCATGAAACTCCAAAAGAAACATTCAAGAGAAGAGTGGTTAATGAATACACTAATATGTAAAGAACAAGTCTGAATCTGCAAGTTGTCTATTCTGCTGCAGTTTGCTAGCAGGCATTAAATATAACTTGAAGTTTTCTAGGACACTGCAGGAAGAAGTTAAGTGCTTGAGGTTCATGGGCACAAGATGAATATTAATATGCTCAGTACCCACATGACTGCTGTCTGAAGAATCAGTTGGTCCTGAACTGAGATTAACTGGGGGGAGGCGGGGGGGGCCATCTATCAGCAAAAAGTAGGGACTGGGACAGTTACAGCAAGGTGCCACACTTCTGCACTTCTTTCATTCTACACACAGGTGACCAGATGAGAATGCAGTCTAATCAGTTTTCAGCAGGATACCAAGGAAGAATGTAAAGTTTCAGGAAGACTCCTAACTGGACTATATTGAGGCACAGAGTCACACAGAGAAAACAAATTACCCTAGTGGTTATACTGAAAAGTACTAAAGAATGGGTTGACCATAGGCACAAGATTTCAAGATTCCAGTTTGCTGGAATATTTGCTACTGCCTTGTAATAGTCAGTTGTAGAAAGAACTTCATAGAGGAAATTAATTTTGGAATGATTGAGGCTTAAAAAAAAATCTTATTCTATATGAAAGATAAAATTATGAGGACACTACTTTAACTTACAACTGTAAACCTGGTATCAAAATGTCAAGTCTACTATGAATTATATAAATACTTCCAGATGTTTAAAAGTTAGCTATCCCCATATGCCCATTTCTGGGCTGTAAAACACACTCACAGTGAGACTCCTTGTGTGCTAGCTTGAAATACATTTTTTCACTTCATCATTAATTAAGAAACATGCCTATAAAAACAGAAAAAAAGTGCAAATTACTTCATACCTTAATTTACACCCCAATCTTGCAGAGATTATGTGATCCCCAGAAATATCCTTGTAGTGGAATACTGCCCATAAAGGCAAGTCACACATCAATACACTCTTTCTCTGTGTTCCAAATGCATTTTGTATTCTGTGGACTCCCCTTTATCTAAGGTTACAACACGTATCTACAAATAACAGTTGTCTAGGGTCTTCCTAATATTAATGCTGAAGGTCTCCTTGATAATCAACTTTCATAGTATTTGTTGGATTTATTCAATTTTCTATTTCTTCCTGATGTGATACTGCTGTGACAAACAAATGGGAAGATTCCATTGGAAAATGGTGACTGACATCTGCTTTCACTAGAACTTCATAATACAGGAGATAAAAAACTGGAGTTACTATGCCAATAATCAACATAATCACTACTGCTGTCCACCATCCTATACCCCAGTCTGCTCCATAGTAAGGATCTTTGCATTTTTTAGTTTTACCATCAGTTTCAAAACACATCTGTTGGGATGCTAAAGCAGAAACAACTTCATTCAGATTCTCTCTCTTTGTATCATTACACTTCACTATTTCTTCTATATCTCGATCGACTTCTTTTAGAAAGTTGCCAGCAGTCTCATTAGCAGAGAATTTATCACAAAGAGATGTTTCCTGTACTTCTGGAGAACACAGAGCAGGCCGAAGAGCTGATCTTCCTTTTGTAGATTTGTGGGTTTCAGTCAACACACTGAACTTTTTCACTGGAATTTTGATAGACCTCAGGGCAAAAAAGTCCTGATCGTTGATAAGATTGTTAGCTCTCTTGATATCTGCAACCTAAAAATGAAAAACAACAGCTAAAACATCATATTTCATTGAACCAAAACTCTCTTAATAGTACTAAAACCTTAAGAAATACAAGTCTTTTGTAAGGAAATAAAGACAAGGCCTTTGTTCTTGCCCGACCCAAGTCAGCTCTCCTCTTCCATATTCTTGCTCAAAATGAATAGCATTTTGTTCAAATTAAGTTTCGATTTTAAGCTGAAGTCTAAGGCAAAGCCTTTGGTTTTTATTACCATAGCTTTTTTTTAACTGATACCCATTCACACAGTATGAAGTCAGAAGAGGTCAAAGACCAAATCTGAACAACTTTACAGCAAGAAGGAAATTAATTACGATGCAAAACCCCCCTCACTTTAGATAGGAAGACTGAAAGTCACTTCACAATAGATATAGCTACTTTTATTTATGTTATCTCTCAGTTGGCAACTAACCCTGTGAAATTAATAAGACTTCACCTCACTTCACCTTTAAGTTTTCAAATTATGTAAATTTCTGTTAATTTCTAATTCAGTGAAAAACTTCTGACTTAGGAGTTATTGGAAAGAATGAGTTTGCAATTATTCTAGCCACAGGCATGTTTTTTTGCTGCTCCTGGGGGCTAAGGCAGAAAACAAATGTAACTTATGAATTGCCATCCACCTTATCTAAGTCAGCTCTCCCCTTTCCCTATACTTGCTCAAACTGAATCTCATTTTGGTTGCAGTAAGTTCAGATTTTAAATCCTATGTGAAACACTCTGCAGGGATTTAAGTACCCTGGTATAATCACTGACTTCATTTTCAGATGATAACTGCCTCACTATAGTAGGCACAACCACAAACTTCACCCTAATGAAGTACTTCCAAATCAGTGCTTTTTTGCAACACCTGCAAAGCACACAGGAATTGTGCCCATTTGAAGATGCACTTTATCCAAGTTCACACAAACCCTTTTAATGTGAAGAAGTTCTTCGGATCCTACGGCAGTGTATTTGTTACGTGTATGATGCTTAATAAATTTGATATAGGATTGCCAAAGGCAGCAATTTATGATTCCACCACAGTGCAACTTATACTTTCTGCCTCAAGCCCCGGGACTGCTCTTCCACATTGTCTTGAAATTGCAAGAAAGAGCACAATTTAGTTATCCTTCCTTTCTTAATGAGGTCTTACCTCATTAACCTGCTCAAAATATGCAATTGCACTAAGTTCTGAAGCCAAGACTTGGTTAATGAGGCTGAGTCTGTCATGATTAGGAAACAGTTATGTCAAGACTTAAATACCTAAAGTCACAACAGAAGGCCCCCAGTTCTGTTTCTGCCTGAATAATCAAATGACACCATATTATGTATATACAGATTTTGAACTTGCCCTCATGGCACCTGTGCACTTAGCAGTCACATCAACACACACAGCTGATTTCCTGTTAAAACTGGAAACGTCACTCAAGCCCCATGTCATTGCCTTAATAGTACTGGTAGCCAAAATTACTGAGTAGGCAGGACATTTACCAGACTAATATAAGAACAGAGCTAGAAGTAGGTGAGCACGGTGAACGGTGCACGGGGGTGGAAAGTTACCAAAAATACAACATGCTCATGCTTAAAATACTAAGGCAATTTAGTAGAATTATAAAGAAAAATACGGAGCGTTTTTTACCCCCCCCCGCTTTGATGGAATTAGGGCTCCACACAGACCCTTAAGGCAGTTAGTTCACCAACACCCTGGTCAGCCAGCCCAACAGCGAGGATGGCACTAGTTGTGCCTACCTGTGACTGGAGCACAGCTTTGAAAGTAACATGTACCCTGAGAGTGCCAAAACCAAAACTGTGCACTTATTTCTCACACTTATATTAGTTTTAAGGGGAAAAGCCCATGGAACCGGAACCCTGCGCTGTAACACGAACACTCTGAAGCAGTTTTTCTCTTCTGAGAAACACGGCGTTTCCCACGCGCTGCCTCCGAAAGCAGCTGAGCTGGGCCCGGGCCCCAGCCCGGCCCTATGGAGCCCGCGCCGCCCGGGCACTTACCGAGCAGCAGAACTGCAGCGCGATCGCGTTCAGCGTATCCCCTTCCCGGATGTCCTTAGTCAGCAGGACGATATCATCCAGCCTGTCCTTCGACGCGCTCCGCCGGACCTTCTCCCTGCCCCGCGGCCGCAGTTCCGACACCTCGCCCTCCTCCTCGGGCCCCTCACTCTCCGCGCTCACGAAGGGGTACAGGTGACCGCCGGCGAGCGGCTGCGCCACGGCGGGCGGCTGCGGACCGCTGCCGGCGCCTCTGCCGGCCATGCTCCGCGGGTGGCCCTGTAGAACGGACCGCAGGCGTGGCGCCCTCCGCGGGGAGTCCCACACCAGCCCCTCCTCCTTGCCCCCTCCCAGCTCCCTCCCGGCTCAGCAATCACCGACCACGCAGCCGCGGGGAGGTGAGAGTAGCGCCCTGCCCTGCCCTGCCCAGCCGGCCCTGTCGGCCCCGCTGCCACACTCCGCCCCAAGTCGCAGCTGTACTTGCCCGCGGTCTGCATGGGACCCACCGCGATGGCGGCTGTGCCGCCACGTCCGCAGCGCCGCCACGCCCAGGTCGGCCGCGCGCAGCCCCGGGGTCGGGGTGGCGGGAGGCGGCCCTGGGGCTCGGCGATGAGGAGCCGGCGGGTTCAGCCCGCTGGGAGTGGGTGTCTCCGCGCCGCCCGGCACTGGTACTGCTGCGATCCGCTCCTGCAGTGCCCCATATCGCTCCGCTCGGCACCTCTGCGTCGCTCTGCCGTGGCCCAGGGAGCGTTGTGGCTGAGCTGCTCGGTGTTGGAGGCCGGAGCGCGGGGCCGGCGCTCCTGGGCGAGGAAGCACTTCACCCCTGCCTTCCCCTCGAGCCGCCCGTGGGCTCTTGCTGATCCTCCTTCTGGCGAAACAGAGTTTGCTCAGATAAACGAAGTTGTCATGTATTTGAGTCAATAGGGTTCTTCTGAGACCCTTTTTGCCTAGCGTTCGCAGCTGCTTTCCACGTTCCGTATCTCTTAGTCCCGCCTGGCTCTTACGCCTTACTGCATCTTCAGAAGCTGCTAGTCCGTTTCTTTACATCACTTCACACCTGTCCCCTGAGGATTAGTACTGCAGAGGTACAGAAATGTAGCCCTCGCTGATAAAGCTTTCTCACAAGAGAGGTGCCACAATTCAAATCCTGTAGATACTTCCACTTGCCTTCCGTAGTAGAATCATTTTTGCTCTAAAGGACTGTCAGCTGAGGCAAGAGGCGGATGTCGTAGTCTGACTAGTAAATATAATCTACTGTGTCTTTCTCCTGACACAGCCTTAGAGGGAAGTTGTGGATTACAGCAGGAGCAGGAATATTATTCCTTTAAAAAACTTGACAGCTCAAAGGTTAGACTAAATATGTGGTAAAAAAATTGTTGAAGACGACTGTGTTTGCGGGTCTGGTTCCTAAATCGGCTGAATCTAATCTTAAGGTAATTTTAAATTAGGGGGTTTTATCATTTTGTTTTTGAGCCTTGCTATACAATGTTTCCAGACTTTCCTAAACAACCAAAGTGGTTAGAAGTGTGTTTGATATTAAAAAAAGACAGAACTTTTTTATGGCTTTACTTTTGAAAACTAGATTACTTGAGTCTGAAGACATAAAAATAAGAGCTTACAATTGTGTAGATCTATGAAGTGTCACATTCGCACCCACAGAAGCCTAATTGAAGCCACATTTCCAGATATTGTAAAACAAGCTGTGAAAACATTGTGTTCTTGTATCTCAGCCTATTTTATGTGTGTGAATATATATATATATCACACATACATATATTTTTCTGTATCTAGCTTAAAATAGTATTCTGTTGTGGATGAGGGATGGATCAGTTAAAATAAAGGTATTTCCAAGACTGTCTAGGTACTCCCTAGCCAAATAGCATCAACAAAAGCAGTACTTTTCTCTTAAGAGCATAGAGGTTTGCCTGAAAGAATAGAAATATTCTCAGGTACAGAAGTCAGCACAAAATAACAAGCTGGCCATTTCATCACTGCCTTTTGTGAAGAAGCATGGAATAGTACTAGCATTTAAATGTGATTTCGTTCCTGCAGGAGGTTGAGCCTACTTAGTCAAGGCTAAGTTTCGGGCTTTCTTAGTCTAGTGGATACCTAGTGTAGTTAGAATTTCCTCAAACAGAAGTTTCTTACAAGTCCGTACACTTTCTAACCATTTACTAGCCTAGCTAAGGGTATTTTCTTGATGCTTGGACCCACATAACATTTTCCTTGCTGAGTATTTCAGGTGTAATTAATTGTGAACAGTGTGATTTCTCCTAGACAGGCAATTTCTTCTTTCATAGCATCTTCCCAACCAAAGCCTGCTCAGAAATAATCTTTCTATTTTTATCATGGGTCAGAAGCACAGCTTGTGCTGATTAACACAGCTGCACTGAAAGCTTAGATACAGCCTCACACAGAAGCCACTATCCAACAAAGACAAGCTTGGATTCTCAGATTGCGTGACAAATGTGCAAACATATTTGTAGGAAACCCAGAACGATTATATGTCTTTCTGGGGATGCCAAATATGACTAGAATGAACCTTCCACAACTATATTTCTAGAAAAAGCAATCTTGAAGATGACAAAATTGAATTAATTTCCCATAAACCCAAAGTTTTCCTGTGGGATCTCAAACTGAAGAAAATTAGCTTTAACTTAGTGATTTAGGATTTCATCTATTAAGAAGTGTCGTGCCATATCTAGCAAGGAATATTTGCTGCACCAAGCAGTTCTGTTTTGTTTTTTAAAAGGAAGCTTTCAGTAATAGAAGTGAAGTAACTGCAGTTATCTGTAGCTGGGAATCTGATGACTCAGACCCTGTTCATGCTTTTGAAAGACTGTTTCATGAGACTTATCAGAGCTCTAGGTGGGTCTGTAGAGGAATTTGAAGTCACTACATATTCAAGGATGCCTGCAGTGGTGTCTAATGATTGTCCCATCACACACCATTAATGGAATATCCTTTTGGACGTCTTTTTTAATCTTTGAGAGGTGAGGCTGCAGCAAAGATCAGAAAAAGGGAATTTCACAATTTTTTTTTATCTACAGAGATGTACCACCAGGTCACAAAAAAGCTGCTGAAGCAGCACTGTGCCTTGGAAGGAGAAAGCAAGTATTGGAGTTTGCTTTGACCCTTCTACAGCCCTGTGTGTAACCATTTGTAACTGCTGACATTTTCCCGTCAATAACAAAAGGATATATTCCAAACCTCATGAACAAGACTGGAGCTGCATAGCTCCCATGAATACTAATAGGAGTACAGTCTTTCTCTACTCCCATGTAAGTTACTTTGCATATCCTATGCACTAGCATTCTCAGTGAGCAACAGAGTCAGTGTTAATCACACCATGGCATTCCAACAACATCTGCATAGATCTGTACCTCATTACTCTCAGTCATGTTATTTCTTGTGTGGCCTGATCAGAGCTAGGAAGTGAAGTATATACATAGAATTATTAGGAAGGTCTTAAGAGATTGTTAGAAGGGATTTGTAAGGAAGATGTAGAGGGCCTGATATAACTTGTTAGTAATTTTTTATTAAAATCCCAAACTAGCCCATGTGATCCACCACTATTGTTTTTGTAAGTAATTCTATGATTTGGTACCACCAAATTTACATTTAGATTTACATTTAGATAGCTGGTGTCAGAGTGCCTAAATGTATGCTTTAATTGCTTATGACATGATAAATTATGACTCATTAAGAGATTCACACAGAAATACATATACAGCCATTGTCTGTATCTGCATCCCTGCTTAGTAATTTGGAATAGTAGTAAAATTGTAGGAAATAGTAATGTCAAGGTAGCTCTGCAGCTCCAGTAAAGATCAAAGGAAGTAATTAAGACATGACTGCAAGATGCAGTTAGAATTCTTAAGATCTCTATAAAAGTGTGCAAGAAGCAAATGGTGCTAAATCTACATACAGTGCACAGTCTGTTCTCCAGTGGAAATACTTGCATGTATGCATTTAGCTAGAATCATTTAGATTGGAAAAGACCCTTAATATTACTAAGTCAAATCATTGATCCTCAAAACTACCATAAATCCTTCTTGGCTGGCAAAGGTCCAACAACAAAAATGTATTAAAAATGACTACAGAATGTATTTTTTTCAATTTACTATTGTTATGGTTTAAATGACAGTAAATTAAAAAATATTTGTATTGAGACTGTATTTTCCCTATGTAATATTTTACATATTTGCTCTTCCCCTTTGGTTACTTGACAGGAATCAACTTTTTAAATTAACTGTATTAATTTAATGTGTATCCATAATAGAAATATGCTGTGTGCCTTCCACAGTGCAGCCAGTAGGGTGCATTGGTTGTTTGATATTTTATTTTCAAAAAACTGTAAATAATGGCATATTTGCTTCTGATTTACTGCTTAAGTACCCTCTGAATAAGAAAATCTATCAGGAGCCCTTTCAGTTATGGTAAAAAGTATGGGAAAATGCAATATTATTTCTTGAAAATTTCTTTCAAATTGTTCACAGATGGATTTTGTTATTAGATTTGGAATTCCTATCTATTGATGAATAACTGTTTTGGTAATGTAAAACTGAAATTGTTTTTGGAGTGAGTTTGGGATTTGTTTTATTTTTTTTTTGGTTATTTGGGTTTTTTTCTTGGGGTTTTTTGGTTGGCTGGTTTTTGGCTTTTGTTTGTTTGCTTTAAAGATTGTCATAGATTCTTTCCAGTTTTTACTGGATGTTTCTAATAAATTCAGTCAATAGCTGTTACTATTTCATATGATTTCCCTTTCAGTATTTATCTTGTTTTTGCTCTAAGGGAATATTTGCTCTGTCTTCAACTCTTTATCTCATTTGTTTTTAATTAATTAAGCATTCAGAATTTGTTGACTTCTGTTTTCTGCTTTTTCTAGGTCTCAATTTTGGAGAATTTGATTTATTTAAGTCCTCTGTGCGTTTCAGCCTAGTTTTTAAAGTGCAGACAGCAGTATTTATGCAATTTCAATTATCCACCCATTTAGTGCCATGTACAAAGGTAATTGACCACCTCAGCTACTTGTCAGTAATCTGCTGTTTATGCATCTGAATATGATATGTGCTTGTTTTTTCTTTCCCAGTCACAGAATCACATTAGACACTTAGGGTGAGCTGCTTTTCTGCTTGAGTTTCTTCAGATGAAAATTATTCAGAAGATCTTTATTTTAGTTTTGAAGGTATTCAGCAGGGTTAATATGACTTGTTTTAATGGAACCAGCTTACCAGCTGAGCTCCATTAGTGTAATACTCTAA